CATCTGACAGCATCTTTTCTTAATCTCTCTAGGGAAGATGTTTCTTCCTCCTCTAAATTCACTTACAAAGGTTAGTAGCTGATAACACATCTTCATTCCTCAATAACATTGACTAACCTAAAGAGAAAGATGAGTAAGAGTGAAGTCCTATTTTAAGATGCTCATAGTCTAGAGTAATAGATATATAAATATATGTAAGTATGTATAATACAACACTATAATTGCTACAATGACTATTAAACAAACTACTAATAATTTACCAGGGAATAAAAGCAACAACTATTAAGGAATAAGTTTAGTTAATAAGTTATCCAATATATTCTTCCCTCATTACAAGGACTTTTTAAAGTGCTCATTCATTTGTAGCCATTGTATTTGCCTCCACATTTCAGTGTAGCTTCTACCCTCCAACCACACTCTGGGAGCCTAAATGTTCCAGCAAAGTTTCCTATGAGCTCCTGAGGGACAGGACCTGTTGAGTGGATGAGGCATGGGAGGATGAATATTACAATGAGCTTGGTTGGAGGTAGAGAGGTTGAGGCTGAGCAGCAGCTCACATAGACACCAGTGTCTGGATGGGCAGCTCACTGGAGCCAGGGACTTTGAAGAACCTGCCCACTATTTATGAGCGTTATTAAGTTAAAATACTGTGCTCCTTTGTGATTCAATAAATTGCCTTTCACATAGCGTGTGCTTTTTCTCTGCTTTTTCTTTCCCATGGTAAACTTATATTGGTAGGCTCTGCTATTTATCATTTGTCCTTCTGGCTGGATGGGTAAATTAAGTTGTAGGTGAAGGACTAGTATGACATCTTAGTATATTCTGGTAATCAAACTTCATTTTCTAATCTAGCTGTACTAGAAATAAAGACTAGATTTGGACTTCCATCTGATCCTTGTATCTTTTTAAAATTGGTTCAGAACACCCTGGGTATGCTGGCCCAGAAATCTTGCAAAAAAGACTTAGGAACCAGGTTTTGGGATCCAATTATGTAGGAAGACAGAAGCCTTTTATTAACACAGTGGTATGAAACTAATGTTGCTTGGATAGTTTGATTTAATAAAAAAAAAAAGAACATAGGCTTTTGCAGTTTGTGTTTTGATCAACCATGTCAATGAGTCTAATTTTTTCATTAGCAGAGAACTCAAACTCTGAGATAATAAATGGGTGTTATTTTAAGCTATTAAGTTTGTTAATATTTCTGGCAGCCAAAGAAAACAAATACAGGTGGGGTGAGTAGCAGAGAATGGGTCATGAAACAAGTAAAAAATGCAAAGGTAAAAATGATCTTGTTCCTAATGTTCTAATTCTTAAGCAAATGGGGAAAAGGGGTCATAGTTGCTTTTCTACTGTGCTTTATTACATATATAAAACACTTCATATGATTTTGTCTTTTATGTATCCCATATTACATAAAAGATTTTAAAATTCTTATGCTATTTTATTTGTGCATTTGTGGCAAAAGCAATTTTGCCAGCAATTTAAGTTGCTGATATTTTCCATTGAAACTCTCTTTTCATGAAAAAGACACATATTGCTCAGTGTATTTTCAGATATGAAGTTCTCTTTGAGGCTTTTTATTTCCTGTTGATTCCACACAACTTTAGAAACACTGAAAAATCCCTTCCTCATTACATTTAATAAAATTTAAAAAATGCAGGTTATGAAATCTTTGCTTTACTTTCTGTCCTTTAAATTTTTAACTTTTATACAAATGTGGTATTAAAAGAAAAGAGATGCCATTTCTCACACTTATTTTTTGAGCACCTACAATGTGCCTGGCTCCCTGCAATTGATGGTGACTCAAAGAAGTAAAGCTCCTGTCTGTACCTATTTAACAGTGTGTAATTACAACTGAAGTGTATATTTAATTTATGCAATTGGACATCGTATCAGTTTTGTAGGGTTGCCATAATAAATTAACATAAAAGTGAGTGGCTTACAACAACATAATTTATTTTCTCGCAGCTTTGGAGGCCAGAAGTCTGATTGTGGAGTCTGAAGAGCCAAGTTCCCACCAAAAGCTCCAGGGGGACAACCTCTGCATGCCTCTTCCTGGATGCTGCTGGTATTCCTTGGCTTGTGGCTGCACAACTCCGACTTCTGACTCTCCAATAGGCTTTTCCATTTCTCCTCATGTCGTTCCTCTGTGTGTTTCTTATAAGGACACTTGTCATGAGACTCCTTATAAAAATCATTTTTCTAGAGAGTCTTTCTCTACCAGGGGCTGGACTAAAAAATGTATCTTCTGGAGAAGGGACTCACGAAATATCTGCTTTGTAAATGGGAGAGAGAATCTGGAATTTATGGAATTTATTTTTAATAAAATCTTTTATTCTAAATGGGAGACAGAACCTGGAATTTATGGATTTTATTTATTTATTTTTGGAGAGAGGGAGAGAAATATTAATGTGTGGTAGCCTCTCATGCACCCCCACCTGGGACCTGTCCTGCAACCCAGGCATTTGCCCTGACTGGGAATTGAACCAGCGACCCTTTGGTGTGCAGACTGGCACTCAATTCACTGAGCCATATCAGCCAGGGCTGGAAAAAACTTTTTGATGTACCTGTTGCCTTTATAATCCACATGACGTTAACGCTAAAAGTTAGCCCTGGCTGCTTATTTTAGCCCGAAGGGTTATTTTGCAAAAAGAAATTAGCATAAATATATAGTTTTGGCTTCTAAATCAGTGTGACAGCTTACGCGCACACACACACACACACACACACACAAAATAGATATTAACAACATGAGGTTAATAATGGTATGATTACTGATCAGAGGTCGTTTGTTTGGTTTTTACATTTTCAACCTTATAATTCTTTCTCACAATCCCACCACAGTATAAACAACTTTTCAGGTTTTTAAAAAACATTTTATTAATTTATTTTTAGAGTGGATGACAGTTTGTTAACTCTACACATACCTTAAAACTTTTGTGAACTCATGTAATCCAGCAATCATGGCCTTAAACAGTATTTTGAGCACTTCTGTTCAATATCTTTGCAAAGTTTTCTTAAATATTATTCCTAACCTGAATTTTTTTAAAAATCAAGAATATATTAAATATTTGCCCTGGTGTAGGATAGGTGGAGGCAGTCTAGCTCTCTCACCCAGATACCTGGGTAACCGGAGAGAGCAGCTCCTCACAACCTTGAAGGAGTCTGTTAAAGCAGTGTTCCCACAGCCTTGAGCCCGGGTCTCACGGCCTCTAGCCCAGGTGCGAAAAACTGCCCTGTAGCCTTGACTCGGCTCGCGTGTGCAGCTCATGATAGTTACTTCACTTTCTGGTCTGTAATCTGCTTTGTTTAGGGCTAGTATTTAAGGGGTAGGAGCTTTGGATGAGGTGGGGAGTCGGGGCACCAACTTGGACACAAGTTTGTGGCCTGTGTGACCCTCCTGAATAAAGGCATGTCAAGCGTCCCCAAGGCTCCACTCATCTTCTTCCGTCTACCGGAGCCCTGAGCAGACCTGCCCAGCCTGGAAAGGATGCAACACACCTGACCAGTGTAACTCAGTTGGAGGATTGTCCCATAGTCAAAATGTTTTGGGTTCAATTTCCGGTCCAGGTACATACCTAGGTTATAGGTTTGATCTCTGGTCCCAGGTACATATGTGAGACGACCTCTCAATGCTTCTCTTGCTTTGTTGTTTCTCTCTCTTCCTCTCTCCTTCCTCACTAAAACCAGTAGAAAAAAGGTGCTTGGGTGAGAATTTAAAAAATTAAAGAATATATTAAATATTTTCTTTCTGTATTGAGAGCTGCATAAAATTCAGAAAATATATCTCACCTATTCTAAAAGAAAGAACAGGTAGTAATTTTTTGTCTCACATCAGTAATAACAATGTTTTTCTTCAAGACCCAAATGGACCTAAATGTTTTTGTGGCATAAAAAGTATAGGAGGGCCAAAAAGTTGAGAAAGTGTGCACCTGTGTGTGTGTGTGTGTGTGTGTGTGTGTGTGTGAGAGAGAGAGAGAGAGAGAGAGAGAGAGAGAGAGAGAGAGAGAGAGAGATTTGTTGGAGCCAAAAGTATATGGGTGAGAAAATGAGTTCTGTTTGTTAAATCCTTCTTAGAGTTTATAAAGAGAATAATTTTTAGATTGGTGTACGTGTGCTAACATCTTCTTCCAAGTGGGGAACAAACATTTCTTGAGCAAGTCCCCCCAAATGTTTATAGTTCCTGTATAATAAAGACATTTGAATTCCATTTTAAAATATGCATGTGAGAAATACAAGAAGAATTTTTTTCCTATGTTAGTTTTCCTTCTATTATAAGAGCATCCTCTGATTTCAGGGGCGGCTCCAAAGGGCAATGCATATCAGGAGATTTGTGCACAAAAAAGTTGAAAAATAGCATGCAGCTAAATGAAATAAATTTTTATACAAAATAAAGTACAATACAAAATCAAATGCAATACAAAATTAAATGTAAAAAGTTTGGAGTGCAGTTTGAGACATCTGGTATTTCCTTTAGTATGCTTAGGTTTGATTAGCCTGTCAGGCAAACTAAAAGCATTGTTCCATTATTCAGAGAATACATCAAGAAGCACCCATAAGAAGAGGGATGACTCTGAGTTCAGAAGTTTGGGTCAGGTGTCTGTTTCCATACTGCATCATTTGTATTCATGTCACCATGATGAATGAAATGTAACTGAATACTAACACTGTCTAAGTTCAGCCAAAAAGAGTGCGATCATATGACAAAGCTACTTATTTTTTCAGCCTTCTAGTTGACATCATGACAAAAGTCAAGGGTTATCACTAATAGTGAGTAACATCCTATAATAATTTCATGTGGGCTAAGGAGGGACTTTTCTATGTTTGGAAAAAGAAAACGTATCACAAAACTATAAAACTTGAAGCACTTTTTCCTGAAGACCTAATCTGGACATATTTTATTTCCTTTCATAAATCATTAACATTAACTTAAAATCAGAGAAAATTATCTATGGATGTTAAACTCTTTGCCATAAACTAAGAATGTAAGGTAATGTAAGGTCAAAAAAAAAAAAAAAAGACAACCATCTGTAGTTTCTCAGTGTATTCTTTGCATACAAATTAAATTGTATGCAAATAATCATTTAAGTAGAAAAATGCCATGAATTCTCTCCATGAGTATCAAAAAATTCAGCTTAAAGCACATACTCTTTAATGTAACTTTTAAAAATAATATTGTTTAATTTAACCTTTCCATTTTTCACAGGAAACTGCTTTTTAATATCCTGATTATTGAAATTAGGTGATAGCTCAGAATAAATCCTGAGATTAAACGGAGGTATTTTTATTTTCAAATTTCAGCTTTCATGAATTAGATGTTTGTCTCTGTTGCTTGTCTTAATCACTAAATGCCACCACCACTACCCCCAATTATAAATAATAATAAAAAAATAATAATACCTCAAGTGTAATAAAGGAGGTTTTGTTTGCTCTGTTTTGGGCAAGCTCAACAGGCTCCAGGTTTTCTAAAATTCATATGCAGTACAGTAAGTTAGTTTTAAAAAGATACTATGATTTACAGCTTCTTGTGTTTTCACTAAAACTATGTTTAAGTACCAGTATCTGTTTGTCAGAAAATCATGTATTTGTAAAAGATAAAACCAAAAATTTTAGGGTTATTTAAAAAAACATTTTAAGTGTTTTCTTACTAAAAACACATCAGTTACCAAAGTCACTTTAAAAAGTGACTTTGAAGTACAATATCTCCTTATTGTAAAAATTCTTTGGGGTCAAGCATTCACACCCTTCACCACAACAATGACTTAAGAATGAATCGTATGAAAAGTTTACTAAGATCAAGAGCAATCTTATTCTGGTAAGTATAATGGAAACTAGCCAATAAGGGAGAGAGACAAAATTAGGACTAAATGGAACAAATATGTGTATCTTTTTTGTGTGTGGGCAAGCACTATTCTTATTTTTTAATATTTTTATTGTTCAATTATGGTTGTCCGCATTTTCCCCCCATTACTCTCCCCTGTGTTACCCACCCCTAGCTTCCACATTCAATCCTCCCCGCTACCAGTTGTCTTTGTCCATGGGTCCTTTATACATGTTCCTTGACTTGACCCTTCGCCAAAAGAAGTTTCCTCCGTTACCCTCCTCTCTCCTACCCTCTGGTCACTGTTGGTTTGTTTTCTATTTCCATGTCTCTTGTTCTAAGTTTTTTAGTCTTGAGATACATTTATTTACTTTGAAATAATTAAAAAACTGCCTTATAACCATTATTTAGGACTTGGTTAGATTAAATAAAGTTCAATGTTGCTCATGCATTTTGCCTTTCATTCTCATAGAGCACTTTTGTTAATCAGTTTTTCCACAAGGGTAGATTTGCACAAGTTTGGAAAAGTATTTACATTTTTATAGTAATGGAAATATTTTCATTACTCTGTTATAACTTTGTATTGTATTTAAATTGCCTTATTCCTTGAAGTCTTTTCAATGTATAAATATACTTATCCAACTAGATTACTAGAACTTTGAGCCACAAAAAGTATTATGCATACTAATATTTACTGAAAAAAATACTTCATCCATATATAATGCACTTTATTTGGATAAAAATTATTTATATTTATTTATATAGGGGTAATGAATGTATTTACTATTAAGAAGGAGCTATGGAAGCAAGCATTTTACTCCCCATTTAATGAACTCAGTAAATTTGGCAGTCACTGAAGCCATGGGTATGCAGTCTACACAACTGTCTACTTGAGAGACAAGTTTTTCAGAGACTAGCAAAATTATGTAAAAATATGGGAAAGTATAGTTCATTCATTGATTCTTATTAGTTATTACTATGAATTTTATATGCAAAAGTGAATGGAATAGTAAAATAAAACTTGTGAATACATAGTCTAAGTTCAACAATATGTCTAATTTTGTTTCATCTATTTCCCTCCAGGTTATTTTATGTAAAACCAAGCTTCCTATTATTTCACCTGTACATACTTTAATAAATCTCTAAAAGACAAATACTATTTAAATAAAAACAGAAGCACAATATAATTATGACAACTAAAATGAATAATAATGTATCTGTTTAACTTTCAAATAATTAAATTCTAACCCTATAGAATACTCTTTTCTAGGTTTTAGATGTGTATGCTGCCATTGATTCAGGTTCTATGCTAATTTATTTATTTGGAACAAAATTTTAGTTATCTAAACAGCACTTTTTGCTAGATATATTATTATCTCTTTTTTTTTTTTCAGATTGAGACCTACATGAAATGAACTTCCTTAGGTCATACCAGAACCAATTCAATTACTGGCACCTTAGTCTAGTACCTACAGTCTTTTTTTACCAAGATCCATTTTAAAATATATTTTGATATATAATTCTACATTTTCAATTTAAAAATAGGTTCCATAATTGAGGTTGACTTCTATATGAATATGAAATGCAAGGCTTTAATAGTTTGGGGAACTGTAAAAAATCAGGGAAAGCACTAAAATCAATGACTTGGCATATATGGAATGCATGCTGGCTGAAGCAAAGGAAACTCACTTAAGAATATATTGGTTTGAACTAAATTGTGATTAAAGCTTGTTAGAAGGTTTATATGTGATTGTGGGCATTCCTAAAAAGTGACTTTATATTTTTTTAAAAATATATATTATTAAAAACTAGTCTTTATATGTTTACCTCATGCTTCCCCTAGTTCTAAGGCATCAAACTAAATATTGATAAAATTAATCACTTTTCTGAAATAATTCCTACAAATGGATTTCTTACTTCAGTATTACGGTAATCTACTATGTGGGAACCATACTGCCAAGCTTGGCAAGGAGTATAAGGATGAATAAAGCCCTGTATTCTCAACTCTAGAGATTAAAAATAAAATGCTATTCAAGAGAATATATGTTATATGAGGTAAATCTGTAAAGCTCTGAGTGTGTTCACAAGAAGGGAAACTATAGCAACAAGTTGGAAAGAAATTGGCATAAGTTTGTGAACAGGATTTTTTATTAATAATTTTTATAAAACTCTTACTTCTCCAGCTAACCAAGATGAAAACCTTGAAGGCATTTCAAATTTCTATGTTTTACCTTTCCCTTCCAATATAAGGTTGTTTCTACAGATTCTACCTTGGGACCATTCCTTTCTTCATTCGAAATAGGCGCAATGTCAGGACCTTAGCTCATTTCTAAATTTTCAATTTCTCTTTACTGAATCTAACTAACAAGGCTGCCAGGTTGATCTTCTTACAGAGCAGTTTCGCACTGCTTTTGCAATTAGTATTTGTGGAAAATGTGGCTGAGAGGATAATAATTCTCTGAAAAGCATCTAGTGCCTCAAGATATATTATCATCCAGATTTGTGACTCTCAAATCTTGCTATGCATCAGAAACACCTGGTTGGCTGGTTAAATCACACACTGCTGAGTCCTAGATTTTCTGGTCAGTAAGTATGGGGACAGGGCTGTGAGTTTGCACTTCTAAGAATTTCACAGATACTATTTGGCTGATAGTCTCAAAATCTTATTTGGAAAACCACTACACTATAACACTATTATTAGCATGGTGAATAGAAGCAGGCACTAGAATCGTGAGATTATGGGTCCACTTTCAGATGTTCCATTTGCTAGACATATGGGAGCGTGGAATTTGGGTGGTCTCTTTAGATTTAATTTTATCATCTTGAGCTGGCTCAAACGAGCTTAAAAGAACCAATTTTATGAATCTCTTCTAAACTCTGGGTTCAGTGACATTATTGAAGATAGAAATCAGCCATGGTGGGAGTATAAACACCGTAAAAATAGCCAATTGTTCCAAAGCAGTTTTTTCCTGCATTTTGGGAAACTACTTGTGAAATAATTACCAGCACACCATTGATTGATTTATATTAATTTTCATAACACTTTGGATGCTATAACAATCTTGAAACTTCTTATTCCTTTTTTGAGGAAGGTACCCTGTTCCACAAAGAGCCCCTGAGTCATCACAGACGGAGAAATAAAATAAGTCATTCCAGAAACTCACAGTCTGCCAGGAAAAGGAGGTGGCGATTCCCCCTAGTGGAGAATGCCCCAAGCCCCTCTCTTGAAGTGACTTTTATTGAGAACGATATGTGCAGGGATATACAGCATTCATGCAAAATTCATCAATCAATGTCAAAAGGCTATATTTACAGAAAACAGATAGAGATCATAGATAACAACTGAAGGAACACAGAGATTTGCCTCAGGTCAGTGTCTGGCAGACAGAGTGGAGCCCATTGGACCCTGAAACCTGGGAAACTGATCACATTCTATGTTCCACCCCAAACATCAGTACTCATTAACTTGAGGGCATTCTTAGCAAAGCAAGTTTCATAGGATTTAATGCATTCCTTTTCTTGGCCCAGTTGTCCCTGCGAACCTCCTGATCCAGTTTAAGGCTGTACCTGCCTTTAGTACTGTTTCACTGACCTGTTCAGGCAGCAGGCAGAGTAGCCAAGAGATGAGGAGACTTCCTTCAGATAGAATGAGGACTCTGGCTATGACAAAGTTGAAGGGTGAGGGTCTTTTGCCCCTTCTCCGTGTCTCCCTAGTCCTTCTCTGATGGTTCCTATGTGACTATGCTTTTCTTAGGTTGCCCCTGCCATTGAGGAGTCTTACCCGCCATTGACTAACCAGCTATCCTCTGGGGCCAAGCAAGATGATATGAGGGAGGCCAGGGGGACAGGTTTTGTCTCCTCAGTGGTCTATTTTCCCAAGCCTGGGGGCCTTGGCTCCAGCCTTGGGGCCTTTTCACCTGTGGGCAAGGCTACAGTCCCTGAAACCAGTCAGAATGGTTCCTAACACCTTTTGATTAATCTACTTTTTCTGAGCATCAGATTGCTCTTTCTCAGTCTATCTTTATTATAAAAACTATTATAAATGTAGAACTTTGACCATTAAAGTTCACATATATGTGAAATCATATGGTATTTCTCTTTTTCTAATGGGGTTATTTCACTTAGCATAATGTTCTCCAGGTCCATCCATACTTTCACAAATGGAAAACTTTCTTTTTTTACAGCCAAGTAGTACCC